GAATTCGCACGTTTCTCTTCTCCTCTTCCGACCACACATTTCATCAAACGCCTTCTCTGCTCTCTCTCTCATCAATGGCTCTCGCGCTCTCGTCTGTATCCTTCGTCCCCAAACATTCACCCTTTGTAGCGTCCTCCAACCTCCACTCTCGCTCTTCCTCCTTCACCCCTCGCAACCCTCTCTCGATCGACCCATCGATCTCTCTCCGATCCTTCGCAAGGAAGAAGGGCAGGAGGAGGAGAAATGGGAGCTGCTCGGTCTTCTCGGCCTCCGCTGACTACTACTCGACTCTCGGGGTCCCAAAGTCCGCTACCACCAAGGAGATCAAGACTGCTTACAGGAGGTTGGCTCGTCAGGTACTCTCAACTTAAACCCTAATTGTGTTCTTGTTTTTGTTTCGTCGGAAATGATTTAGGCTAGGTTTTTGAAACCCTAAATGATTGCGAGAGTTCGGGAACTCGGGAACACATGTGAGAAAATCTTGATTTGCTTTGAATGAAGAAAATTCCAACCCGGTAAGAGTTGTGTGATGGCTTCAGCCGGGCGGCGAAATGCCAAAGGATGGGAAATGTTCAGACTGGCAAGGAAAACCATGACAGTGGATGACTGTTTTGGGGTTATGGAGGTCTTAAAGGATAGTGTTGCTAGTTACTTTTTTTAAGGTTTTCACCTTTTGAAGCATATCGAGACACGGGAGACTGAAGTGGAAGGCTATTTTGGAACCTAATTAGCTACAAGCATAACAACTGGTAGGACCCGATCTGTGTGTTACATACCCAAATCGAAGGTCCTCAGGTCAGAGACTTTGAAGGATATCGTTTAAGTTGATAGAGACGTGCACGCAAAGGAACTCAAAAGTGTCCGTTTGCAAGTTACGAAATGCATCATAGAATATAGTTGGAGGCTTTTATGTCTCGTCCTGGAAACTCCTAACACTCTTCCTCTGTATGTGGCTTGACCCTCGAGATACATTTGCTCTTATATTGGTTGACCCCATTAGAAAAGAGCTAAGTATTTTTGACACAAATTGTTGAAACATTCATTTAAGGATTATAGTGTTTCAGGACTTTGAAAGCTGCAACCTAGGTTTCTTATTCCATTTACATGTAAAAGATGAAGTACAATGTATTGTTGTTACTATTTATTTTCGATGCTATTCCTAGTTTTAAGTGCACATGATTAGAAAGAGTTGTAATATTTTAATTAATGGAGAAGTTGAAGGGCAAGATTAATGTAGTCAAACCCCAAAAGTTTTTAGGGACACTGTTTTAAATATTGGCCGACATGGCTGAATGTGCTGTTATGATACTTGCTGCGAGACAAATCTTTTACCAATTTTGATAATTTCTTGGCGACATATCTGGATTTTCCCAATATATTAGGGGACATTTCACTGAAACAATCGACCAAAATGTTGTAAACTAGTAATATCAATTTGATCTTTTATTTGTTTCTAGATCAATTGAGGTCCAAAGTCAAACAAATAATTCCTTATATAAATACCCTGAAAGAAGAAAGTAAGTTTCTATGGAGACCAATATTTTGGCAAAAGTTTTGTCGCGCTTTTAGTTTCACACTAGTTTTCTGGAGGTGCACTGTTGCAGCACCACCCTAACCATGCTTCATCATCGAATGTTGCCACACTCGGCAGCCTATTTAACACGAGACTAATCCAGCGACTCGCCATTTTAGCAATTAATTCACTAAAATGATCCGCTAAGGCTACCATTTATTCTACTTATTTTATTATTTAACAAAATGTCAATCTTAAAAGATATTATTTGCGAAAATAAACAAACATTTGCACCCATTTTACCTTCCATGTTCTGTCCTCAAGCTAAACCATCTCACAGCTTGGTACTCATCAAGTACTTGGAAGAAAAGGGAACAAACTAATAATTTTTAAATTTGATTCAACAAATACTGGCAAGGGATTTGGAAATTCAACAGACTTGTGGACGCTTTTAGATGCACAATAAAAAAAACATATGAAATAAGATGATAGTATGACAGTAAGTGATGGATATGAAATAGGAATATAATTGAAAATACACATAGAGGAAAGATAAGAAATTTGAACACCTTAGAGCACAATATGCGGTTTCACTACTGTGCAAGAACTTGTACTCCTATTGTATTCCGGATAGGCAATAAAAGATGAGTGTGACAATCAGTGTTTTAAATATCGGCCGCCATGTCCGACATGGCGGCCGATATTGCGGATTCGGAGCCTAGCCGCCACGAAATTGTTGAATTTAATGCGTATGGCGTTTTTGAGGTCATGTCGGGGACATGTCGGAAAATAGCGGATATATCGGGCGACATTTCGGCCATCAAATATCGGCCAAAATTCAGAAATATCGGTTTCACATTGACATGTTGAAATCATATGATTTGCAATATCTTTCACCTTCTATTTATGTAAAGTTTCACATTGTTTCCCATCCACTACCCATATGGGTGCTTGTTGTAGGTTTTAATTACTTGTTATTGCATGTGTTTTCTTTATAATGGAAGGCTATAAGAACACATGAATTTATTTGTATTAGGTGCACATATACTTCGGTTTTACTAGTTTCTTGTTTGGAGAAATGACAGATATATAATAAAAATCCTGCAATTGTTAGTCGATGCAGTTAAGTAGTTTAGAATAGCAATTACGAGTTTAATTTTCAATTTCAGTAGAATTTTTTTTTTGTTCCTACTAGTATAATGCACGCGCTTTGTATGTGAACATTTTTTTTTGTAATCTTTTTCTTTGAGTGTAAAATTATGAAGTGACTTTTATAATAACATAAATTCTTAAATTGAACAATTAATAAATCTTTACATTAATAAATAAAGTTGTGTATAAAGAATTGTATTAGTAATTTTTATATTCTAGATAATTATTATACTTTAATAAGAATTGTCTAAACATATGCAGTTAAGCTGTTCTAGTGTCTATTGGTTTTCTATGCAAAAGCAAAAACTTGGTGGTTGCTTGTGAAAATAAAGACCTTCTCATATGTACTTTTTCATATGTTTAGACAATATAATTATCAAGTATGTGAAGATTCTATTTATGATATTATATCAACCTATCCGATATGGCAATCCGATATTTTTTTCATGTCCCCCGATATATCCCCGATTTCCGCTATCCGACATGAATTTTGGCCGAGCAACATGAACCCGACATCCGATATTTAAAACCTTGGTGACAATGCGTTAATGTGTACCCGTTGGACTACATCTAGCTATGCTACTTAGCATGACAACATTCAAATGCATAAATAGTAACTACTGCAACTTAAAAGTCATAGCACTACATATTGATACACAAAAGTATGAATGCAAGTTTAACAAGACTAGCACATCAATTTTAAATTCTTTTAAGTTATTTAGAATAAGGCAATGGATATATCTTGCTTAAGGCGGGCAAAAACATAGTTTGATCCTCCCTTTTGGTTATCAGATTGAGAAACTCTTTGGTGGTTGTCATGGCCAAAGGAATCAAACACTTCAAGTAGAAGGAACATCATCACTTAATTCCCCTTTTAATCCAAGTTACCAAAACAATGTTTTAGGTTATTACACATGATGTTATGCATTAGTCCTGTGTTTCTAAATCGAATGATTAATCATGTCGATGAAGCATCTGTTGTCGATCTATGAATGGGACTAGTCTCCATACCTGGTGGTATAAGAAGCCTAACCTTACTCATAGTGTATGATTCACGAATCCTACGAAAATTAGTAGCTCCAGTGTATACCACGCGAACTTGTCGCATCTCAATACAACTTTCCTATGCCATATAGTTGCAAGTTCCCCCTTCTTGCACCATCCACCGATACTACTAATTTATAATATTCCGTATTGATCAATGACAAACGCTAGGTTAAAAAAACTCCATGTGCAATCAAGTAGTGGGTGTAGCACGCAGTTGAGGAAATACATGAGGAGTCATATAAAATCATCAACAAGGTCACATGAAACTGTGAAATGAAGATTTGATTTCTACAAATGTTTAGAGCTGGAATTTGATCCTCGCATATTATTCGCATATAGGTTTTTAGCTCAACTAGTGAAAACAAGATATATGTGACAATATACCTAAAAACTAGTTCAACACTTTCTAATTGGTCATAATTGTGTGGGTAAAGCTTTACATTTATATCTATCTGTATGTAAAAGTTACAGGGTTTTTTTGAAAACAAAAACTGAATTTCTACATGCATGCATGTTTCAACCAAGTATTCAGTTGATTGGGATGGCTTAGTCAATTGGGGTTAAATTCAGTCGATTGCATTTTGCCTCCTGTTTGCAATTTTGGGTTGTCAAAGTCGTCTGAGCTCGACTTGATGACTGATTCCCAGATTTTGGGATTCTTTCCTCCAGCCATCTCTTGGTAATCTGCCAGCTTGTGGATAATCTTCCATGACTGCTCACATTATCCTCCATGTTCTTAGGGTTGTTTTTACACCAAGATCATAGGTTTTAGGTCGTGTGAAAGACATTGTGGATTTCATGCAATCAATAGAAATATTTTTGTCTCGGTATTCGATGATTTTCATCTAACGATGTTTTTAACCATCTATGGTCTAAAGCACATCCAGAGTGTATACCATTTGTCTAGTTCCTTGATTAGGGTTCCTAGCATTATTTTCATCTCTATCTACATATAAGTCAAGATCTCTACAAAACTATGATATTAAAATATTGATAATAGTTCACATGGATTGAAATGTAGATATGGAATTGATTGCAGAGATAATTTCATAGATAATTGGAGACTTTGTACGCACGGCTTTAGGAATCAAAGAAACGATGGCAAGGTAGGGTACTTGCCTGATTGATGCTACTGATAATAAAAGTTGCTGAAGCAAAGAAAATATACTAAATTGTCATATTTTTCTCCATCTCTTTACTTGGTCGGCTAACAGAGGATACATCAAGGGTTTATTTCTGCAACTTAGGGTTTGTAAAGGTATTTAACCTTGTTTTGCTTATTTTGTCAGGTTCGGGTTTTGGTTGCTTTCAGCTTAAACCTGTTTGAGCACTTCTTCATAAAATAATATAATAAGATATCTAATCAATAGTTGCTTTATTGATACTTGATTGAAGGGTACCTAGATAATTTGATGACCTTATTATGCAATCTACTGATGCGTGCACATGCTAACTAGCAAAGGATTAAGTCAAGTTACCTGAAGGATGCCTGCTTTGTTCATTTGTGTTTTGAATGGTTATTGTTACTCATTAATCATCATATATTGAAGGGTACCTGGATAATTTGATGACCTTATTATGCAATCTGTCGATACTTTCTCATGCTAACTTGCAAAGGATTAAGTCAAGTTACCTGAACGATGCCTGTTTTGTTCATCTGTGTTTTGAATGGTTATTGTTACTTATTAATCATCATATATTGGTTGATGTTATCTAATGGAGGTTTAGTCATGCCTTGATTGTAAGGAGATACGCTAGAAGTTCATTGGAGCTAATTTTCTTCAATTGTGGAACCTTCTGCTCAACTATTTTAATTTCTACATTTTTTTCCCTATTGCAATTTCTGCAGTTCCTGACCTTATGTTTTGTTTATCAAGTATCACCCTGATGTCAATAAGCAACCTGGAGCAACTGAAAAGTTTAAGGAGATCAGCACCGCTTATGAGGTACTTTTTTGTTATGTAAATTGTTTACTTAAATATTTGTGTTCAAACTTTTCACTGGTTTTATTTCCATAGACAAAGGTTCAATCATAAGCCAAAGCTTGCATCACAATTTATCTGCATAAGTTAGCAAAAACTATTACGTTTGCAAAACATAATGACATCACACTTGCCAATAAAATATTATATGCTTATTCTTCTTGCTGTTGAAGAATAAGTGTAGTACATAACAAGAAGTCAGTGATAGCGAAGTTCCTATCTTAAGCTTTGTGTTCATCTACATGAATCCTCTCCCTCCATTTAATTTCAATACCTACAATTTTTTGAGAAAAAATTGGGGTCCTGAACTAAAACCCTAGCTTACAAAAAACATCATTAAAGCACATGGTCGTTTACAAAAAAAGGTTTGTACTCCCAACACCAAAAATGCATACACCACAACATATCTTCAGTTACAGACAAATAGCAAAAGTACTGGTCCACCCATATAACAATAAATTTCCAAACTATCAAACTGATCACCACACCATTTGTCTAAAAAACAAACTTATTACAACTTTATACATTTCAAAAGCACTAGCAGCCCTAGACGTATGCCACACCTCCATCAACTTGACCACCAACTCCATCAACCTGAATAGCATAAAAACGTCAAGCAGCAGCTTCAGTCACCTGAGCACTCCTCTATCGTTTACGACATAGCACAAAGTTTCCCTGCATCTAATGGCAAATTCCCTAGCCAAAGGCATACAAAAGCATTAATCTGGCATAAAATCTCCATAACACGTTTTGTTTCCTGTTTAAAGATGCATTTATTTCGTTCATAATGTAAGCACCATGAGGTACCACCATTCACATCCCATTTTAGCTTATCAGATGTAGAAATAAAATTATTCTTCCAAGACGAAATATCTGATCTTTAATCATCTCAAACCCATGTAGAAGCAGCTTCAAAATTGTAATTTTCTCCCTATTATTATTGTAAATTAAGGTATCGTCTCCATATTGCAGATATAATACCTTCTTCTCACTAGATTCAGGGCCTAGACCTTGCACTAGGCCATTTCTCTCAACTAAAGCTAATAGTTGTGTAAACACATCTGCAGCTAAAACAAAAAGTAAAGGGGATAGGAGATCTCCCAGTCTAACTCCCCTCTTAGAATAAATCCAATTATCACGAACTCTGTTTAGTTATATTGCGGAGTTCCTGCCATGCAAATAGAGATTAACTCAACTCTACCATTTCTCTCCAAAACGTTTAGCCTCTAAAACAACGAAAATATAACTCCAGTCCAACATATCATAGGTCTTAGCATAATCAAGTTTTAACAGAATACCACCCCCTCTTTTTATATTGGAAACAATCATTAATAATTTCTTGGGCAATGACAATGCTATTAACCAACAATCTAACCTTTATTAAACCTATTTAAATGTGATCAGTCAGAAACTCAATCTTACAGTTTAAACTATTAGTGATGACTTTTGTGATAATTTTGTAAACCACATTAAGTAAACTAATGGGTCTATCGTTTCCTGCGTTAATAACCTCCACTTTCTTAGGAATTAGCCCAATAAAAGCATCGTTGAATCTATCCATGTCTAACCTTCCCTCATAAAACTCAAACACTCCCACAAAATCATCTTTAATGATGTCCCAAATTTTTTGAAAAAAGATGGTCGAAAGACTATCAGGTCCAGTATCCCAAAATTTTTGAAAAAAGATGGTTGAAAGACTATCAGGTCCAGTAACTTTATCCCCATTTGTACTGAAAATAGCCTTTTTTATTTCACACAGAAAAATGACTGTCAATCTCCTTAGCTCCCCAATCATTCTTCGGATTAACTTTCTGCCAATCAGCCACACACATCTTGTCTTCTTTCAAATCATTTTTTTTAATAAAACACCTCATCTATAACTTTTTCGGAAGTCACTTTTATACCATTTTCTAGCACACAAGCAAGCATGTTACTTCTCCTTTTACTAGTTGCGACACTGAAAAAATCTACTGTTATTATCTCTTTCTTTGAGCCAATGTATTTTAGATATCTATTTTCACACAATCTCTTCTTAGGTTGGAATAGAAGATAATTGATCATTCAAAACTTACCTATTATCCCTCTCTTTGATTGTTAAATATGTCTCTTCTTCCAGAATATCAATTTGCAAGATATCACTTAAAATATCTTTTTTTTTGTTTGTCTAATACTATAAAACTGATTCCTAGCCCACACCTTCAACTTTTTCCCAATAAGCCTTAGTTTTTCTATAAAATTTCCAACAGCTGTATTCCATTATGATTGAAAAAATTTCTTCAAATCCTCAGATTGTAACCAGACTTTCTCAAATCTAAAAGTTTTCTTACTAAACACTGTAACTGCTTAGCTCACAAGAACATGATCAGAAATCATACTAGTATGTCGGTAATAATAGGACGTGGGGCTTGAGAACATCTCTGTAGTTTTAGACTTCAAATATTATTATAGGCTAGAATATAAGCGCATATAAATACGCGTGATATGAAATTTTTTTATAAATTTTATGCCTTTTATGGAAGTGTATTAAATACAATGATATTATCGAACTTTGAATCATTTATGACTTCATATTCTTAAATTGAAAAGCAATAGCTTATTGCACTATTTTTTCTAAGAAAGATAAGAACAATACTTATTAAATTTTCTTGAATAATTTGTTTTTGTCAAAATTAGATAACGTAATTGTATGAATTCAGCATTTGAAAGAAATCTAATTAAAAAGTGTTTCTCATGTAAATTAATTTTTCTTAGAGTTTATAGGAAAAATACAGATAAATATTAAAATAATACTGTGATATAATCAATCCCAGTAGGGTGAAGCTATTATTTCATCTGAGGAAAGAAAACAATTTTAATTGATTTAAGTGTCTAATTTGAAAGGCCTTTAATAATTTTGGTTAAATTTGTAAATAACAAAACGTGAAGGTATAATTATCAATTTCGCAAAAACTTGGGGACTTGTATACAAAGACTTTAGTTTTTATTATTTAAAAATTGAAAACTCTTTTCCTCACGTCTCGATAGTATACCTGAGATTTTTGATGTCTGTGGGGGGCTATCTTTACCATAAAATCCTTTAGTGGGAAATTACATTTATACCCTTAAGATTATAATTAGAATAGAGGACATTGCCAGTATGTGTTAAATTGTTGGTTGTCACCATCCTTTAGTTTAATAAATCTCGAAACATTTATTTTATGTACTTTGATAATGATGAGCTCTTATTCAAAGACTCAAAGTGAGTCCCATCGACTTCAAAGGCGTGACTGCAAGTCCTTATCAACTCGTAATTTATCAAATTTGAAGAAGTCCCTCGCAAATTGTAAATTCTATATTTAGTGCATGATGAATAAGTCCATATATTTTTGGAGTCTTGTTTGCTTATGGGTTTCAGATGCATGATCTGAGGTCTTTATCAACTCTTAAAACATAAAAAAGTTCAACACAGTCGTATGTATACTGTGATCAATGAAACAACAGCCACAAGAATAAAGCTTAGTAAGAATATGCAGATGAAGATTTAAATCCAAACATGCATGTAAAGAACTTATTACTTCACTGAGACGCCTTCTATGTCGACTATGATTAATTTGGTATAATGAGATTTGCTCAATTTTGGTCCTTCGACAAATGTATCTCTTTTCTTTGGAAATTTGCTAAATTAAAGGAGAAATTTCAATAAGAAGACTTTTTAACTAATATGCTATGAAATTTCTAAATTAAAAGATACGTATAGATTTTCAAAAATTCCATGACAAGATTATATTGAAAATTTTAAACATGTACATTTTCATGCCTTAATTATTTTTAATGAAAAATGGAACAAAATGTTATATAATGACTCAATTGGAACATGTAATAAAAAGAACCTGTTCTACAAATTATAAAAGATTACGAAATCATACATGGAAGGAATGACTGATTTCCAATATATCAACTGATTAATTATTAAGCATGGAAGGAATCATATATATACACGTTAAATAAGTGGACAAACATTTATTTCCTTTGTAAATGATCAAAGGTGTACATAGCCTTATACAAGTTGGGATGTATTCAAGCTGAAAATTATTTAGAAAGTAGGGGTGGAAAACAATCGAATCAGAGCGAACACTAGTGAACTTGAATTCTAATTCGAGTCGAATATCACAATGATATTGATATTCGAATTCGTATATATATGGAATATTCGCTGAATGTTCATGAATATTTGGTAGCTCACATGGTTGGGGGATTTAGCTCTCATATAGCGGGTCCTGTGTTTGAACCTTAGGACTGCCACCTTTTTTTTCACTTTCTTATTCTTTTTGAGATTTTTTCATATACACCCAAGAGTTGTATGTATTTGTAAATATGCCCTCTAAAGCATCATTTTTGTTAATGCCTTTTTCATTTAAGCTTATGCCTCAACTTAAACTAATTAATTTTTTTAGAAAATGTCTAATTTACCATTTAATAAATATATAATATAAATGAATATTTAATGATCAAACTAATCGAATACACATTTGGTTAAACTAGTAACTAGTATAATGCACGTGCTTTGCACGTAAATGTACATGTTTTAATTTTAAATTTTTTATTAAATAATAAAATTATGCATTAATAAATAAAATTGTATAGTAAGATGGACAAATTTTTAAAATCAACCGTTTTTTAACATTAATAGGCAAAATCAACCGTTCCCAAAAAAAAAGGCAAAATCAACCTGCACGGGACTAGTAGTCCCGTGCAGTTTCTATCTCTCTCCTCACCGCCTGCCTCATCTCTCTCTTCCTCACTCACCTGCCCCCCTCTCTCTCCTCACTCACCTGCCCCCACTCCTCCCGCAAGCGCCCCTCTCCTCCCTCGTCCTTATCTGCTCCTACTGTCATTATCATAAGCCGCGGCCTCTCCGACCTCGTCTAGCACCCACCTGCCACTCCTCCGCTCCCCTTCCTCCTTGACTTTCGACTCCGTGGCTG